TGTTCTCCTTTCATGCCAGGACTTTTCTGGAATGGAAGTGTTCTGGCAACCTCAGAATTACCCCTTTCTGCCCCAGAACTTTTCAATTTTCTTTTTTTTCCTCTGTCCCTGGGATAAGTTGGGGAGAAGCATCCTTAAAGAATCCTGATTCCAATACTTGCTTGCTGTGTGATTGCGATTGTGGACCAGTTACTTCAACTCTCAATTTCTGCATCTATAAAATAGAGACGATAATCTAACTCATGGGTTGTTGTGAGGATCAAACTAGCTATTTGCATAGCCTTTTCAGAACAGCGCATGGCACATAGTGGGTGATCCACAAATGTTAGCTGGTGTTATTATAATCAAAATAATAATAACATTTTATTATTATATAGAATCAAAAGGTTAATTGCAGCCTTCTTGGAGTCCAAATCAAATGTTGTGAGGTTCTGCATAATCTTTATTTTTGGTATCTTCCTAGAGAAATCAAGTGATATAGAAGCTCATTGGTTCCTGATTGATAGTAATGCCATTTATCAGTTCTAGTGTGTGCAAAGAGAAATTGGTCTAGTTCATCTATCAAATCATGGCAGCTGTGAAGTGGAAAGCAACCAGTATTTAGCCCAGATTCTCCACCAGCGACAGCTCTTTCTTTCTCCTTGCCTTACCAGCCATGCTTCCAGGTGCTTGCAGGGGCTATCTCCACTTCTTTCTACCTACTCGCCTGCTGGACAGCTACCCTGCAGTCTGGCTTCTACCCTCACTCTCACTGAAGCTGGTTTCCCAAAGGTGACTGACAACTTCCTTGTTTCTCTGCTTGCTGACCACTTCTGCCTTCCAGAAAAAGTTTCTTTGCGGCTTCCATGATACCACATTTGTCCTCTGTAGGCATTTTTTATCTACCTTCCTGGCAACTGCTCATTTCCTGTTTTTTTTTTTCTTTTGTTTTGTTTTACTTATTCTTTTTCCCCAAATTTACATGTTGACGTTTTTCAGATAATATAATAAGCCTTGTTGTCTTCTCACAACACACCTCTTCCAGGAGAATTTCATCCATTTCCAAGGCTCAACCGCTAGCTTGATGGGCCTCTAGCCCAGCTCCCTCTCCTGGGCCTTCAGGCTCTCATACTGCCTTCTTGCTGGGCATTGCCACCTAAATGTCACAATGGCGATTCAAACCCAGCTTGTCCTAAAGTGAATAAATGGTTAAATTATTTGAGACGCAAATGTAAATTAATAGATAAATAAATAATGGCATGGGGAAATACAAGGTAATGCTCAAATTTTAAAAATAAAATTTTTATTTTTAAATAAAATACAGCATCCTCCCGTGTGCCGTACCTCAATGACCTGCACTTCAATTGGCATACTATTAGAGAAACACCTTGGCATCCTATTTCTGCCTTTCTCTCACCTCCTCTACATCTGCCAACTTTACTTCCAAAATACCTCTGGGACCAGACATCTTTTCTCTTTCCTTGTTGCTTCTATCCTGCTCTGGGCCACCATCATCCTTCTACTGATTGATGACTATAGCCTCCTAACTGGCCTTTTGGCCTTCAGTCTTGATTCGTCCAAATTATTCTCCAAGTGGCCAGAGTTATATTTTGCAAGTAGAAAACTGCCCCTGATGTTTTCCTACTTAAAACACGTTAGTGATCCCCAACATTTTTGAGGATAAATTTGAAATGACCTGAGTTTTCAAGGACCTATATGATTTGTTCTTTGCCTATTCTCTGGCCTCATTTCCTGCCTTCCCCCAATCCCCTGCAGTATTCCACATGCTAGTCCTACTGAGCTTGCATTTCCCAGAATCAGTCCACAGGCTGTTGTCTGCAACCCTTGAGGGCTCAGGGACTGTTGCTTCTACGAAGAAGATTCCTCTCCTACTTAGGTCTGGGCTAGGTCCTCTTCCTGGTGGGACCTTGAACAGCTGAACTCATAGTTCTGTCTTCTTCCTGGTGATTTACTTAGGGCTTGGGTTTTGGAGTCAGGCCATGGGAGTCTGAATTCCAGCTCTTCCACCTGCAAGGTATTATTTAACTTCAGTGAGCCTCAGCTTCCTCATCTGCAAAGTGGATCTAAAACCAGAATTTATTCTATAGTTTTCAGTGAAGAGTAAATGAGATGAGGCATATGGAGTGCTCAGCATAGTGCCCAGTAATGGTTGCACTGGTTACCCATCTGTTCCCATCTTCTCACCGTAAATTACATAAGAAAAGGGTCAGTCAGTCTTTTGCCTTGTTGTGTACCTGACACCTCAAACTCTGTTTGTCTAGCACTTTTTGAAGAAAGAATGAAGACCACTGCCTGTTTTGGTTTTCTAGGTAGGTCATAGAGGTAGAAGGCGTCATTAGTGTCTAATAATGTAAAGGAGAAAGGAAGGGAAGCTGAAGGTTAGAAATTAATTGCAAGCGTGTATTCCTTAGACATTTTTTCTTATTTAAGATGATTTAAAAAGTAATATATTCCTATTCTAGGAAATTTAAAAAATACATAACTTACAAGGAATATATCGAGCACCTACAGCTTTACCATCTAAAAATCCACCATTAATATTTTATCATTCCTTATAGCTTTTCATAAATTCATGTCTCTTTATTGAAATAGGGAACAAAAGGCATTCAACTAATTATTTGCCTAATTAATTATTTAAAATCCTGTTTTATTTGAACGTAAACTGTATAGGGGCAGAGATTATGCACACCACTAAATGTCCAATATCTGCTGCAGTGCAAGTTGCAGCTCAATAAAAAGATATTGACTAAATTCCTATGTATATTTAATTTGGTGTCTTCATTATGTTTAAAATTTGAACATTACCTTGTATTTCCCCATGTCATTATTTATCTCTCTATTAATTTACATTTGTGTCTCAGAAATAATTTAACCCTTTATTGTTGGACACTTAGGGTATGTCAGTTCTTTGTTATCTTAATTAATACTGTGACAGACATCCTTGTGAGTCGTTTTCGGCCTATATATTAGATTACTTCCTTAAGCTCCTTTCCTAGAAGAGGAATCTTGTTACGAGTCTTCTTTTACAAATTTTCTAAAATTCTCTGTTCTATTTGCCTCATATTGTCTGCAAAAACCTCACTGTTTTGTGACTTCTTTCTCCCTAATGAACTTGGGATAAATAACACCCAAAGCCCAAGGCTCAGCCTTACTCACCCTCCTGCTCTCCGTGCTGGGAGGAAATGCTCTTGATCCTTCCCTGGGAACCACCATCAGTTACGCCTTTGTCTTATTAAATACATCAGGTTACAGAGGTGGAACAAAAACGGATCATTATTTTTTATTCTTCCTCTCCTTCCTCTTTCTTTTCTTCTCCCGCATCTCCTCCCCCTTGGCCCTCCCGTCTTCCTTCCTTCTTCCTCCATCCTCTTCTTCCTCATTCTCCTCCTTCTCGCACCTTTTTAATAAAAAAGAGACACAAAACTTTTAAAATATATATATTTATTATATATTTTGGGTAATTTAGGAAGAAATATAATGAAAGGAAGGGAAAGAAAGAAAGGGGGCAGAGAGAGAAAAAGAAAGCAAGCTAGAAAAAGAAAGAGAAAAGGAGAAGGGAATGAAAAGAGACCAGAAACAACATTATAGAGCAGGGAGAATCATTAGAAAACGAAAGAGGAGAAAACAGAAAAAAAAAAAATCTTAGTCTAGCAAAATATGTATGTGGAGCCATTCTTATTCATCCCTGTGGTCAGCTTTTCTGACAGCCTTTCAGAGATTCGAAAAGCTATTATAATTCTATAAATTTTATTTTATTCTTATTTTTGCCTTTTTTTTCCATCAGGGTAAGTTTATTTATTTATTAATTTTTAAATTTTACCTTAACTTCTGGGATGCATGTGCAGAATGTGTAGGTTTGGTACATAGGTATACATGTGCCATGGTGGTTTGCTGCACTTATCAACCCATCATCTAGGTTTTAAGCCCCGTGTGCATTAGGTATTTGTCCTAATGCTCTCCCTCCCCTTTCCCCCAACACTCCGGCAGGCCCTGGTGTGTTCCCCTCCCTGTGTCCCTGTGTTCTAATTGTTCAACTCCCACTTATGAGTGAGAGCACGTAGTGTTTGGTTTTCTGTTCCAATGTTAGTTTGCTCAGAATGATAGCTTCCGGCTTAATCCATGTCCTGCAAAGGACATGAACTTATTCTTTTTAATGGCTGCACAGTATTTCAGGGTATATATGTGCCTATTTATTTATTTTTTGAGACAGAGTCTCATTCTGTCACCTAGGCTGGAGCGCAGTGATACCATCTTGGCTCGCTGCAACCTCTGCCTCCCGGGTTCAAGCGATTCTCTTGCCTCAGCCTCCTGAGTAGCTGGGACAACAGGTACGCACCACCACTCCTGGCTAATTTTGTAATTTTAGTAGAGATGGGGTTTTACCATGTTGGTCAGGCTGGTCTCTAACTCCTGACCTCAAGTGATCCACTCATCTCTGCCTCCCAAAGTGCTGGGATTACAGGTGTGGGTCACTGCACCCAGCCTCAGGGTGTTTATCTACTTACTTCTATTATTCCTGCGGGGACATAATTTTATCCTCCAGTTACCCTTTTTAGAATAATGTTCAGTTTGTCAGTATCCCTGCTAAATTGTGGGGCTCTGCGTCGGACAGGGAACTCCAGAGTGTTTCTTGTATGAGCTGAAGAACAGAGCACACAGCAGGACTGTCACTTCCTATGCTTAGCACGGGAACTTCTCTTTACCGTCTTTTGCTCTCTCTCTCTCTCAAACATTTACAGCAGTGGTTCTAAAGCTTCTTGGTCTTAGACCTCTTTACTCTCTTAAAAAGATGATTGAGAACTACACACGGATTTCATTTATGCAGATTCCATCTAGTAATATTTACCATATAAGAAGCTAAAACATAAAATTTTAAATATTGCTTTAATTCATTTAAAAGTAACAAAAATAAAACCATGACATGGGAATATAATTAACATTTCCTAATGAAAATTTTTCAAAAATGAAAAATAATATTCAGAAAATGGCATTATTTTACATTTGCTTATTTCTTCAACATCTGACTTAATAGAAGTTAGCCTGATTCTCATCTGATTCTGCATTTAATCTGTTGCAATGAGATGTTTTGTTGAAGTATATAAATAAAACCTGGCCTCACTCAGGCATAGCTGGAAAAAGGGGGAATATTTTAATGGCCATCTCAAATAGTAATGGATATTCTTCTTTGATACTACATGAAGCGTTGTGGCAGTTTCTGAAAGGTTAGTTGCAATGTGCAATCTGGAACCTTATCAATGAACTTTTCCTTAGTTGATTATGTATAATTCATTGGTCCAACTTACACTTTAAAAGGCATGATTTTGTAACATCATACATTAATCATTGGAAAAACATTAGTTAGGCAGGTCTTCCACATGTTGATATAGTTCATTCTACAATACAAAAAAAAAATCACGTTAATTAATGTTACTATCAATCTTATTTACAATATCTTCAATTATTGGGAAGCTGACAAGTTTGCGGTGGCAGATACAAGCTTTCTAAAATTTACTTGAAAGCTTGAATTTTGTCATTGGCAACAAATATCTAGTGATTTTTCTTGAAGCGACAGGCTTACTTCATTCATTTCTGTGGAAATATCTGCTGCATACCCACATCTGAATAATTACAGTTTGTCTGTTAGTCATTCTTTCAAGTAAAAACGGGGTCAAAATTTAATAAAAATAACAATATTTACTGCTTAATAAAAGACATTGTTAAATGAAACTGGCTCCTCCCCCCACACCCACCGGGCATGCATCAGGGTAAAGAATACAATGACCACTTGCACAGTTGGGCACCATTGCTTTTGCACCATCAGTGCAAATGTCAACACAGTGGAAGAAGGCCAAGTAGTATAACTCTGAAAATAATTTTGGCATTGTGGACCTCTTGAAAGGATGTGGAGGACTGCCAAAGGTCTGTGGACCACACCTCGACTAAGTTGTCAGAGTTCAGGATGCCTACTGGTTACATTAGTTATATTCAGTCTCCCACTGATCCTATTAGTGAAAACAGGCTGTGAATCTTCAAAGAAATAATAGCAGTAGGAATGCATCTTAGGTGCTGTGCCAGGTGCATTTCTTACATTATCTCACAGCAACCCTTGAGGTAGGTTCTGTTTTATCCCCACTTTCAGATGAGAAAACTGTAGATCAGAGAGGGGAGTTAACATGCCTAAGATCACGCAGCTGGTGAGAGTAGAGCCAGTGGGAAATGCCTGGCAGTGTGACTCCAGAGCCCATACCGTGAGCTGCTCTGTTATTGCTGGAGAGGCTACCAGGGTGGGTGAAGTGAAGAGATAGCATGCCGGAGAGGTAGGAGGTCAAAGCAGTGGCTGAGAATCTTGGACTCAAGTGTCTAAATAGCAAATCAAAGTTTTCCCCAGAAGCTCTTCTCATCTGATTCCCATCAAGTCTTTTGAGATGAACAGGATTCTTCTTATTTCCATTTTCTAAGCAAGGAAAGTGATGGGGCTCAGCAGGCAAGCGTCCCCTTGCAGCCTCGGTCATATGCTGGGAGAACACCACCTTCTCACCCAAAGCCAAGGAGTCAGGGCCCTGCTTGGGCAGCTTTTCTCCCTTGGGACATCACGTTGTCACATGCCATGGAGGGGAACTTGGCAAAACAGGTAGTGGTGTCAAAAGAGAGAGGGATGGTGACCCAAAGTCCAGCAGTGAGAGTCCTCCTAGGTGTCTATGACTGAGACTCAGAGCTGTTCTGCGTTCTTGGGTTCAATTCCACATTAAGCCAGGAACAGTTTCTCTGCAAACAGAAAAGGAAGTATAGACGATGAAGAGGACAGGTCAGGAAAAGACACTGAAGCCATGGAGGCCTCAGACAACGAAGTTTGAAGGAACAGAGAAAAAGGAGCTCAAATGCTGCCTGGATTCCTTTCACAATGGAGGGAGAAATTGAGGCCTGCAGAGGGAAAGAAACGTGCCAAAAGTCATACACCCCATAAAGTAAAAATGCCAGATGCCATCCTGGCCCCAGGACTCCTTGCCTGATGCACTGTACTCTCGGAAAAGAGACTATATTTAGATAAATCAAAGCCAGCTTGCTTGGAGTCTCTCTTCTGATATCTCAGAGCAAACAGAGGGAACTGACAGCGGGGTTGCTATGCTAGAAGCTGAAGCTCTGGAGACTCGTTCCCTTTCTATGAAATGCTTATGAACAGGAGCTGGGAACTAGGATGGAATTTCTTTGGTTTCTTGGGACCTTTCTCCAGAGTTTGTAATCATGTTCCTCCTACATACCACTCTGGTGTTTAAATTCCCAGTGGGTTATATAGTCAGTTCAATCTGAGATTTTTTTTCTCTTTCAATGAGCCAACTTTGCCTTTGTTCTTTTGTTTATATTCCCGGACAATCGACAGTTCCTGAAAGTGGCAGGCCTGCTGGATGCGGAAGAGGGGAAATTTCAGGACAGTTCCTGAATATTCAGGCCTTCAAAGCCCCATCCAAGGCCAGCACGGGGCCTCCAGAATAAAGGTTAGAATATGTTGCAGAAGAGAACCCCCGTTCTCAGCTCAGATCCCCACATAATCTTTCCTGCCCTCCTTGGGCAGGGGAGGGGAAGTTTTTAGTATAGAGGGGAAATTTTCCAGTAATAAGGGGACGATCGTCTGCTCCTTCATTTTCTTTCCTTTTCAACAGGTTGAGTTCTGAATGTTTACCATTAGAAATGAAGTATTTAATTTCAGGTTCTGTTCACCAGGACAAAGGAAAATATTATACTGACTGACTGTAGGACTTCTTTTCCTTTTTTTTTTTTTTTTTTTTTTTTTGCAGGGAGAGGTCCACAAATATCTGTGGAGAATCTGCTATGTTTAAAGCCCTGTTTTAAGAGCTGAGGATTCAGCAGTTGAAGCAAACAAATGTTCTGCTCTGGTGATGCTGACATTCCCTGGAGGGAGCCAGACAACATATGATGGCCTATAGGGCAGTGTGAAAGGCAGACACAGGTGAGGGCCTAGAGAGTGACAGAGGTGGCATTTTATACTGGATAGTTAGAGACAGGCATTGAGTTAGGGTGAGGGTCAGGAGTAGAGGCCTGAGGAGGTGACATTTGAATAGAGACCAGAATGAAGCTCGAGAATGTGTTTTGAAGCATGTGGGGAAGACTCCTCTGCTTGTCAGATTGGTGACTCCTAAAATGGGGTGGGGCACGCCTTGCAACCTCAGATCACACAGAACCAGCTTACCCCTGCTTCCAGATGCACATCCCCTCCAGGTTCTTGAAGACCGTCCTTGGGTCCCACCTGAAACTTCTTATCCCAGAAAATCTGTTATTCCAGCCTAACGTTACCTTTCAGAGTGCATTACCCCAAACAAAACAAAGCAAAAAAAAAAAAAAAAACCCCAGCCCTCCTAGGATCTGGGGTCAGTTGATGAGATCTTTGATTCTTCTTCTTCTGCCATTCTTGATACCTTTGAGATTCTGAAGCTTTAGAGACAGATGTGCCCTCTGAAATCAGATGACTCAAACCCCTCATTTTACAAATGGGGAAAGTGAAGCCCAGACCTAGGAAGGGCCCTGTTTTTGTCTGGTTACAGAGTTAGTTACAAAAATGACAGAGTGGGGACACATCCACAGGTGTCCTTCTAATCTCATGCTCTTTTTCTTTCCAGCCTCCAACACCCCAAATTCCACCTTTAATCCACATCTACTTTATGTACTTGGAGAATAACAACAATAGCTCATGTTTCCGCAGAACTTGGGTTTCCTCTTGCAATGTTGTTCTGTTCTTCTCTGAGGATGTATTCTGAGAAGAGAAACTCTCTGTAGGTTTCTTTTTTTCTCTTTTAAAAGAAATATTGTCTTCTGTTTTACTCTAGGCTTGGTACTAAAGGCTTTATACCCAGTATTTCATTTAACTCTCAAAACCCCTTTGTGAGACATTATAATCATTTTCAAAGACTGGAAAGCTCAAGCTCAGAGAGGCTGAGTAATTTACCAAAGACCACACAGCCAGAGAATGGTGGAGCTGGGATAAGAACTCAGGACTTGCAGACTCTCCAACGAGGCTGGTCTGTTCTCCCTGTCTACCATCTGTCACCAGCCAAGATAGAGTGCTCTTATTGGGACATCTGTCTCTTCATACTCATGGAGCTTCTGTTTTTTTGCCTATTTTGGTTACCTTTCTCCACCACCATATCATAGCAGTTGGTCATGCCAGGAGCCTACCATCCCCTAGCCTTTCTCTGGGAGGTTCCTGTCCCACGGGTTGGGATGCTTAGCATTACCTGACTTTGGCATCCTGGCCACAGCTGATGCAATACAGAATAGCTTAACCCAAAGCCTACTAGCTATGGACTGGCCAGCAGCCTCTGAGGTGTTCATGCTCTGTCCACAGGAACGCTGTGCTCTGACAGGTGGCTGGTTGAACCAATCAGACCTTTTCTCTTGGAGAGCAAGAGAAAAGGGTAAGGCATAAGAATAATGCTCATGATCAGAAGAGGCGGAAACACAGAAGTCCAATGCTTACGGACAGATGAGACAAGAGTGAAAAACATTCCAATGGTGGAACAATTTTGTGGATTCCATAGAGTTTGATTCTGTAGTTCAGATGGTTTCTGCAGCTCAGGTGGTTTCCTTACTTCTCTGTGCATTTTTAAAATAAACTTCTAGGAAGTGAGTAACATGAGTGTGTCTATGTCCATGCTCCCCAGAAAAGGCAAATCCGCACTCTTCAGTCTGTTCCCCTTCAGTGCAGCAATTGGTTCAGCTGATCACCCACTAGCAGTGAGTCTCCACATTGGGCAGAACTTCTACAGCCATTGGCCCCTGGCTAGACCTGAGATCAGTTTCCCCAAGGGAGGCTGCAAAACCATCTGGGCACATTCCCGAGGCCCACTTGCACTTGATGGGGCAGAAGTTCTGTGGGTGGCTCCTGAGACATCTTACGCAAACTCCCCTGATGATTTTATTCCCAAGTGATCTTAAAGTTTGCAAACAATGGCCACGGAGAGCTGTCTGTAGGTCAGATACTCACTCTGGTCCTACCAAATGTGATGAGCATGCATGATCTGGGATGAAGATCCTGCATTCTGTTTGGTCTAAGGCCTTGCCTGTGAATCCTCCTTTTTGTAGGGTGGAGGTAGGGAGCATCAGACCCCATCATCCAACACCTGCTGCTATGTTTTAGGAACTGGTCACACCTGAAGTGGCAAAATGCTACCCATGAACTGAATCTGCGGATTGCAAAAGTATTGTTTTTTAAAACAATCTTGAATTACTTGCTATCTCTTATAATGACCCCAAGATTTCACACACACAAAAGTCTGATTTCCATCTTTTCTTGAAAATCTGCGATATTTAGTAGCACTGGGCCTTCGTTCTGTTTTGGCAACAATGAACTTTTGCTGAATACAGATGCCATTTCAGATGGCACTTAAGTGTCCCATTTACTTCAGGGTGCCTCCTCTCCAGATAGTGTCTCCAAATTTGAGGCTGTCAGTGGTTCAAGAAAAATGAGAGTGATCACATTTTTTTGAAGATGTGAAGAATATTCTTTCATATTTAATAGATCAATTTTGTAACTGTCTTGAGAAAAATATGATTCAAGATGTTCATATCACTCTGAAGATGCCTGATGCCTAATCCTAAAGACATTTGAGTTGTGGTACTTGACACTGATTCCCACATCCCTCTGTGAAGCTGTGACTGGAAGGAAAGAGTCCACCAAAAAAACTGAGAATATCAGAATCTGATCGTGGAGTGCACCATTTTCTTGCAAAGATGGAGAGACTTTGGTTCAGAAAGAGAAGAGCACTCCTGATGTCACCCAGGACATGGGGTATAGGGAGAGTGAAAGCTGAGTCCTCATTTTCGAGCTGGACTCTTCTTTGTCTATAACCACTGTTTGCTTCCAAGTATCTTTACCCTTGGCCACATCATTTTTTTTTTTGGGAGGTGTTCCCTGTATCACAAGTACAGTTCTAACTAAAGTGTCTTACAAATATTATTTGATTTAATAGTTATCCTTATTTGACAAATGAGAAAATTGAGGTTTACAAAGTGCTTTGCTTATTTGTGGAAAAAAAGGAATTTGAATCCAGGTCTGGGAACAGTCAAAGCCTGAGGGCTTTCCCATGGTGCTGTGTAAATCAACTCACTTAGCAGCCTGGGAGGTCACTGCCATGCTGTTTCCATTTTATTATGGAGAAGGCAAGAAGGTAAGTGGCTTGCCTGGGATTACATAACCAGTCATTGATACAGTCAGGACTAAAATCTAGGGCTAGCTCCAGGCTGGCACTTGTAACTGTGGCCACATTTGCTACTCTGCTGTACCTCACGTAATCACGGGAAACCTTCTAAAAATTCATTTCCATTGCTTTGTATGGAATCACCCTGTACAACTTAGTATCAATACATACATTTGGGTGTGTAGAGGGCATGGGTCTACTTTGTGGCACCCTGAATGTACCCTTAGAGTTTTGTGATAGTGCAGCATTTTGGGCCAACACATTGAGCAGCAGCCTAGATGTTCAGGTGAGGTGATGCCTACAAATGGAGGATCTACATCCACAAGCAAGAAGGGCATTCTCCAGTGGCACACGGTGAGTGCCAATTCTCAGACGGTTAGCGCCAACACTCCCTAGAGCCAAAACTAGAACACAGGGTCCTGACCCTTTTTTTTTTCCTGCATGATTCTTTCTCTTTCCAATATACAGTTACTTACCTCCCATTCAAATGTTAGCAGTAAAATGCCATGAAATGCTGTGATTCCCTTCTATCATCTTCATTTCACATTGTTAAAG